TAAAGCCAAGGCTCTAAACAATCAAAGTAAATCACACCTTCAAATAGTATCGATAAATATGGTTTCAATATTGGAAATCTTTGTGATAGCCTTAAAAAATATATTTTCATTTCTAATTATAAAACTTAAATTTTCAAAAATAGTGTAGCTCGAGAAAATTTATGAAAACTTGAAAATCTTGAAAAGTGATAGTCAAAAAATGCATCTTGTGATGCACTATTTCAAAACATGAAATCCATTCTTTTCTCATGTTAATGCTTCTTGAGGTCAAGATGATCAATTTAAAGATATTTGGGCATCAAAACAACCAGTTCTAGTGAAATTTTTGAGGTGTGCCTTAATTTAATTGTTTAAAGCCTCGTACTTATATAAATTTTTCTTAAGTATTATGTCAATATATATATATATATATATATATATATATATATATTTAAAGGAAAAAGTTTACATAAGATTGCAACCTTTAAATGTAGAATTATATATGCACATAAAAAATCCATCGGAAAATGTTGTTTTAATGTTGAAAAAACCTCTAATTGATCATCTCGACATCGAGATTTATGAATGTGAAAGAAAAAAAATATTATGAGTCCCAAAAATAGTGCATCTTGCATTACATTATCTAGACCATCCATTTTCAAGATTTTCATATGTTTATAGATCTGTTTGATTTTAACCATTTTTGGAGTTTAAAATTTTATAATTGGATATGAAAATTGATTTTGAGATAATCCTAAAAAAAAGTTCACCAAAATTATATAATATGATAAAATTTGGAGGTGCGTCTTAATTGGATTGTTTAAGGTGATAACCTTATTAAAAGCATAACTAAAAATATACAGTTATATTTATTTAAAATTATTTAATTAATAACAGTATTCGTATCACCTGAATATTGTTCGAGTCTAACATTTGGACCCAAATCAGATCCGTTGGGTCCAATTTTTAGACCCATACCAAACCCGAGTCCGAGTCCGAGTCCATTGCCACCCCTAAATCCGCCCTCCAAAATTGAGAGTTAAAAAAAAAAAAAAAAAAAAAAAAAAAAGAAATTTCCTTGTCCGAAGTGTATACATAGGACATTTTTGATATGAAAATGGTGGAGAGATAAAAAGAGAGACAAAGCACCTCAGTCCTCATCATTTCTCTTGTCTTTTTTTATTTCATATCTCTATCGGCGATACACGTGAACCTCGCAATGCGTACAACGTGTGAGAAGTGGGCCCAGTCTCCCTTCACTTTGAAGTTTGAAATAATAACTCCAATACCTTCCTGCTTTCATCTCCACCGTACATCTGCCTCTTTCACATCCACTACTATCGGGATATTTTTGGCGGGGGCATTTCTGTCTTCTTTATTAATTTTTTTATACATTTTCAACTTTACTTCTATAATTAAACTATGAGTTCTATAGTTTACAATTACACTATTAGTAATGACCGTATAGACCTTCCTCTACTCATCGGTGTAGGACCCTAAATGATTTTATCGATATCTAGAAAAATTATGACACAAGGATTTGATTTTTTTAGAAATTCGTATCAAATTTAATGGTGATCCTTTGAAGTCCTACATACATGAGTTGGGGAGAGTCCTGCAAGATCATTTCTCTTAAACTATTTATCCTCTTATTGAGGATGCACCTAAAAAATCCATAAAAAAAGATTGTTTTAATATTGAAAAATCCTCTAATTGATCATCTTGATATCGAGATGTATGAATATAAGAAATATATATTTTGAGTATCTAGTGTATCTTGTAACACATTATTTAGACCATCTATTTTTAAGATTTTCATATGTTTATAGATCTATTTGATTTTAACTATTCTTTGGAGTTTATAATTTTATAATTAAGTATGAAACTAGATTTTGAGATAATCCTAATACTTTTTACACTAAAATTACATGTTATGATAAAATTTGGCGGTGTGCCTTCATTGGATTGTTTAACGTTGCAGCCTTATAGAAACTTATGTACAATCTGAATAAGGTTGCAATTTTAATTAATCAAAATAAAGTTGACCACCAAATTTTATATTCGGATATAATTTTGGTATCAAGGAAGACATGAGAATCCATTTTTATCTTTGATGTTGAAATTTTAAGCTCTAAAGATGATTCAAATCAAGTAAATCTATTAACATATGGAAATCTTCAAAATGAATGTTTGAGATAAAGTGTTGCAAGATATACTATTTTTGGACTCGAAGCCTTTTTTTTTTTTGTCATATTCATATTTTCGATGTCGAGATGGTCAAAATAGGGCTCTCCAGTTTCAAAAAAGCTTTTTACGATGGATTTTTTAGGTGTACTTTAATTCTACATTTTAAATTTTATCTTTTTATCTTTCGATCCAAGGAGCTAATACTTATACTTGACCGTTATGTAAGAAATCTAATCGTTGGATATGCATCACTACTTTGACACAAATTCCCAAATAAAAATTATGGGCACACTTCAATTTATCAAGTTTTACACCCAACGATAAAAAATGATTGTGATCTTCATGCACTAAAAGTGAATAATCTTAATAGTAGATGATCTCGTAAGTTATATGATGTAAATTTGAATTTTTTTAAAAAGTAATATAAAAAAATAATATGCCTTTTAAAATATTATAAAATCTACACCGTCCAAATAAAATAAATGATATAGATTATTGCAATATTATTTCTACAAATGAATCCATATAAAATTATCCCAATGATTAGGTGAATTAGGCGAGTGATTTTCACTTAAAAGTTTTTTGCCAAAAATTATGTTCAATCAAGGAACTAATTCACCCATTTTGGCGAAATAATAAGAATTTAGAATAAAAAATCTTGATTCAAACTTTGAATCGAGATGAGTTCTACAACCCATAATTGAGATCCGACATGGTTTTTGAGGAGGCCGATTCGGAATTGAACCGATGGATATTGAGAACAGTGAGATAAACTAAGCTACTCTTTAGTTTATGACGCTGCAAAAACTGGAAAAGCCCAGGGTCCCATCTAATTCCACAGATTCCTTGCGATTTCAGTCACTTAATCCACCGTTGGTGACCCCAAAACTTTGGATAACCTTTATTATCTCCTTAATCAATCAATGTGAAAACATTAAATAAAATTAAAATTTCAGACTTAAAAAGTAAAGAAAAGGAGTGAGTCAATATCGAGACTGCGCCACTCGCTCATTAAATCGGATGGATAATAGTGGACTACACCCTTTTGCTCACTCTTATATCTGAAAGTGCCACGTCACCCAAAATTTGTATTTTGAAAATGACTGACTGCCATTTGGTGGAAAAAGTAGATGTCAGATTTTATATTATAAGTTTTTTTTTATCAAAATCTATATAAAAAAAACAGTTTATATAAGGTTGACAAATGTTGTTTTAATGTTGAAAAACTTTTTAATTGATCATCTCCACATCTAGATATATAAATATGAAAAATAAATAAATTTTGAGTCTTATAAATAGTATATCTTACAACACATTATCTAGATTGTCCACTTTCATATATTTATATATCCACTTAATTTTAACTATTTTTGAAGTTTAAAATTTTATAATAAAAAATAAAACTAGATTTTCAGATAATTTTAAGAATTTTTTACACCAAAATTACATGTTTTGATAAAATTTGGAGGTAGGCCTTAATTGGATTATTTAAGGCTGCAACCTTAAAGAAACCACACTCTTAACATTTTATACATTTACAAAAAAATTTTAATTGGTAATCATGTGTATTTTAATGGGTATTTTAAAATCAAATCAAACAATATAGGTAAAAAAATTAAATTGTTCATCTCTTGAGATTAATGTCACCACTTTGTATCATAGGTAAATGATCTCATTCCATTTAATAAGATGTTTGTCTAGAGTTATCAACCCTTTAAAATATAAAAATTAATATTATAATGAGTTGTGATGGATATATTTATGAAAAAAAAAAAGTGAAAGCGAACACACGAAGAAAGAAAAAGATAGAAGTTTGGAGTATATAAATGAAGAGAAAAAAATGGTTGAATTTATAAATAACATGTTTTTTTCACAATTGTTTAGATTAAAAAAACGTCTAAAAGATCAAAGAGTTAAAAAATATCTTTTGGAATCTTGAAATAAGACTTAAAAATAAAAAAAATAAAACTTAAAATTAAAAGATATAAAAATATTTTTCTTTAAATTTTGACCCTAATGTAGTGGCATCATTACATTATTTTTTCATGATAAAGTAAAAAGGGGGTCACTACTTATTGTTGGCGTTGGATATCATCCAAGCCACCGACCAATCAGGGAGTGGTAATTGAAGATATGCTTTTATGATTTTATGCTTATTTTCTTGGGTGAATAATTTAATTATAAGCTTGTTTAGATGGCCACACTTTATCTGAAACCACCATCTTTCCCTATCCGCTGTTTCCAGTACCGACACTAAATTGGGTCGGGCTTTGGTAACTCTCTCTACAGGAGTAGCTCTCTAGTAAATTGGGTCAAAAGACCCGACTACACCGTGGGCTCGTAAGGTATACCTGACATCGGGTCCAGGTATGTGGGCACCCAAATACTATTTAGGTTCGGGTCCAAGTCCAACTAAACCTGAATTGTACTTATAGCCATAAGATATACGATGACAATTATGTGTCTTTAGATGGTTACTAAGTTGTTTACATTGTCTAGTAATATTATTTGAAAAAAAAAAAAAAACACAACCGTTATAGTCATACCGTATATGATGGTTTAAAAAAAATAAATTCTTTTTTTTTTTTTTTGTCATTGGGTATCATATGGTATTGGTTTTTTTTTTTTTTTAAAAAAAAAAAAAAATTATTTGTCATTGGGTGCCATTGGATCCTACAAGACATGGGACCCGAAGGGTAGAGCCGGGACCTTTGGACCGAAAGGCTATTTGGATCCGGGTTCTGTTACCGAAAGACCCGACTCGTTGCCACCCTTACTCTCCACCCACTCACTGTGATGATGAACCCTGCGCGTTTCTCTTTAAAGCCCTTCCATGACCATAGCTTCTTGCATTTAGAGAAAGAGAGAGAGAAACCATTGATTGTGCTTGTAGCGAGAGAAAGAGAGAGAGAGAGAGAGAAGAGAAAGATGGAGTTCCCATTTGGGCACCAGCAGCACCACCACCACCATAGGAGCCATGAAGAGAGAGAAGAGGAGAGGAACCCAAATGAAGAAGAGCCATACCAGAGACACCCTCCTGAGCCTCGCTTTGAAAGGCCCCCACCCCCTGAATTCTCCCCATTTGAGAGGCCTCCTCAACCTGCTTATGATCCATATGAAAGGCCTGTTACTGATGAATTTGGTAATCCCTCATTTCAAAGGCCTCGTCCTCCTCAACCTGCTTATGATCCATATGAAAGGCCTGTTACTGATGAATTTGGTGATCCCTCATTTCAAAGGCCTCCTCCTCCTGGTGAATATGGCGAGGATCCATATCGGAGAGGCCCTCCTCGTCGTCTTGAAGCTCAGGTGGAGCATGTATCTCATGAGAAGCATCACCATAGCTTCCCCTTCTTCAATCGCCATGAGAGCAGCAGTCATGGCGATGAATATGGGAGACCCAGCAGTCGTGGCGATGAGTATGGGAGGTCCAGGCTTCCACAGGGCCAGGATGTTAGGGTTTTTACCTTGGCTGAAACCAACTACTCTCTCACCATCCGAGGGGAATCTGTGGTCTTGGCTCCTGCCAACCCTGATGATGAATTACAGGCATCTCTCTCTCTCTCCCTGTGTGTGGACACACTTCCTTGACATTCGTCAATAAAAATCCTCTCTTTCTCTCTCTGTTTTTTTTATTTACCAATAAAATTCTCTCTTTCTCTCTCCGTTTTTTTGTTAATAAAAAGTCTCTCTTTCTCTCTCTTCTTTTTTTTTTTCCCTATTTGACATATGGGTCTACTGAATTCTTACTTTTGTTCTGAACATACTTGGATCCTAATTGGTTTTGCCATATGGGTTTACTGAATTATTATTTTTATTCTAATATATAAGTTTTTTATGTTGGTTGTCTTTGCTTACAGCATTGGATCCATCTCCATAGTCAATACATTTCTTTTACCTTCATCAATCACCTCTTTCTTTCTTTTTTTCTGTTTTTTGGACATGGATTTAGTGAATTCCTGCTCTTTCTTTATTTTTTCAACAGCATTGGATCAAGGATGAGAAATTCAGCACAAGGGTGAAGGATGAGCAGGGTTTTCCTTCCTTCTCCCTCGTTAACAAGGCTACGGGTCAGGCCCTCAAACACTCTGTCGGACCTGAGAAACCAGTAAGCCTCTTCTCATGAGAGAGAGAGAGAGAGAGAGAGAGAGAGAGAGAGAGAGAGAGAGAGAGAGAGAGAGAGAGAGAGAGAGAGTACGTAGTACGTACGTACGTACGTACGTTACGTACGTTACGTTAGTTACGTTACGTTAGTACGTTACGTAGTACGTAGTACGTAGTA